TCCCTGTATCTCAGTTTCCTCACCTGTAAAAATGTAATATAAACCTAAAAAACAATACCTAGAAAACAAAGTATATGAGAAAATTAAATGATAATGTACATCCTTAGAACTGTGCTAAGCACAGAGTAAGTGCTATATAAGTGCAATTATAATTATTGATGGATAAATAAAACAAACTTCATTGACTAATAATTATATGCTGTAGAAAAAAAAAAAGGACAGCAAGTATGTTTCCCACATATTTAAATTTTAGTCTGACAACTGTGTAACTAGATAGATTTTCCTAGGAAATTATATTCTGTGTCATGATGTGTATGCCAGGGTTCTCTGGCAGTTACTCTGAAGATCTCTGGGTTCTGAGTGAAGCCCCCACTGCTGTTTGGGACAATCACAACCAAAGGTAAGTAAAACCTGAATTTTAAAAATATTGTTCATCAGTTGTCATATTATGGAGCTTAACTAAAGGCCATCTAACCCATATATACTGGGCAATAAAGATTTTAACAATCTTTTGTAACCTTGGCCATATCCAGAGACAGTGGCCCTTTAGATCCTGAACTGAATTTTATGATGGATGCTTTAAACAAGGGGAGAATGAGGGCGTATTACTGAGGCTGATATGTTTTGTTTTATAGAGATTTGTTCCTCTTGGCTGTGGCAGCCTAGGAAATTATTTTCTTCTTTTGAAATGCTAGATTTTCCTAAGGGAAGCAGTCCCTTTTATAGTGTAGAGAGGAGAGTTAGTTGGTGATGGGGAACTTGGTGATGTGAGTGGTCTGGGGACCAGCACAGATGATACTCTTATGCTGTTTTCCAAATGGTGGAAAAGGATTACTTTAGTGGTGTATAAACATTGAAAAATATTATTTAAAGTGAAGGAGAAAAGTATATTTTACATAGAATTTCATATAGTTTATATAGTGATAGTCATGATTTACCTAAACTATGATTTTAAAATGCTAAACATTGAAGAAATAAGCCTGTTCAAAATTATTATTTCTAATGGTCCATTCATCATCAGACTTTGGAGAAAATAAAAAAGGAGAGAATGTTTTCCACAAAAAATTTAAAATATATTTTATTTATTTCACTGAGAAATGGAGTGCTTTTTTGCTTATCTTGCTTTCACTCCCTGTAATCTTAGAGACAAATATATGGAGAATATATGCAGAACTGGTTACATGAATTTATATAAACATAGACACACATAATCCCTTTGCCTCAATTTTCTGTCTTTTTTTGTAATTTTTATGTTATTTTTATTTTTCTTTGATGTATGGATTTTTTTGGGGAAAAAAAAATCAATGTAAAAGTTATTTCTGGTAGAAATGAGATGTGCTTTTTAAATGATAGCTGATACCATCTTAGACTTTTCCATAAGTCCAATGGCCATAAAAAGCCTCTTCTTTGTGGGGTGAACAGTGCTGGGGTGGACCATGTACAGAGAATGCATCAGGGCATAAGAGAGGCTTGGTGGGAACTTCAAGTCATAAAGTGTCAAAGAGGAAATAATACCTGTAAAAGCAGGGACCACATACCATAGTCAATGGAGTGTGCACACTTTCAGGAGTACAGAAGGGAAAATGGGTTCCATGAAAAAAAAAATTGCTGGATAAAAATGAAAATTATTTGCTTCATAAGAAGTTTCTTCCAAACCAGCAAGTTCCTGGAAACATAGTAATTTTGTACTTGAAACATATTGAGAACAGTCTGGAGTTCCCCTGGGGGAAAATAGACAAATTCCAGTAAGTAGATAGAAAGGGATAGAAGAGTTAAAAATATGAAGAGTGGAGTGTTTCAGTTTTTTGCAAATAATGTATTTTGTTACCATTTCCTAATCATGTAACCTAAACAGGTTCTAGTTTATGTTTACTGAGGACCTTGTTATCAATGATTGATTGTGTTAGAGTTCCAAGGTCAATATTATTATTTTGAGTATCATTATTCAGGATTATGTCGATGATGCCAAACTAATAGTGAATTTGGAGGTGAAAAAACAAAGTTCTTGGTAGAAGAACCACAAAGATAATATACAGTACAATCACCATAGTTAATAATAATAATATAATAATAATATATATTTGAAGATTTCTAAGAGAGTAAATCTTAAAAGTTCTCATCAGGAGAAAAAAATTGTAACCGTGGGGGGTGATGACTATTAACTAGTTTTATTGTGGTGATCATTCTGCAGTATATACCAATATTGAATCATTATGTTGTACACCTGAAACTAATACAACGTGATATGACAGTTATATCATAATAAATGTTTTTTAAAAAGAACTACAAAGATCCAGAAAATACAGGGATTGAGTGTAAATAGTACTGTAATAGTATGCGAAAAATTACTGTAGTTGAGGGCTTCTTTGGTGGTGCAGTGGTTGAGAGTCCGTCTGCTGATGCAGGGGACACAGGTTCGTGCTTCGGTCTGGGAAGATCCCACATGCTGTGGAGCAGCTGGGCCCGTGAGCCATGGCCGCTGAGCCTGCGCGTCCAGAGACTGTGCTCCGCAATGGGAGAGGCCACAACAGTGAAAGGCCTGCGTACCGCAAAAAAAAAAAAAAAAAAAAAAATTACTGTAGTTGAGCATATTTGCAAATATGTGGACTTTATAATATTCGACATTGAATGAGTCCAATAATAATTGTGTTGTATGTACTCTAAGAACACAACCATAGAACTTTAAAAAGAAAATTTTAGGGTAAAAATTGAAAAAAATTAAAAAGAGCTTTTCATTATAAAGCTTCAAGAACCATGTGGTATGTTAGGATAACAAAAATGTGGACAGAACTCAATTCATTGTGTGGTGCACTATTTAAGAAGTTTAAGAAATAAGAAAATAAAATTCATTTTTGAAGAAAATATAGACCTTATTTAATATTTTAAAATGGATAATGGTGGCATCATGATAATAGAAAATTGATATCTTTGGAATACTCATTAATATAAACGAAAACTGAGTGAACTAAATGTAAATGAAATATTATTATGATAGCCATGCTTTAAATACTGTGTGTCTTACAAAAGTATTTTATTGCTATGAGATTAATTTTATATTTTTTCAACAGTGGAAAACCTGGTTGATGTGTATTAAAATTTAGATTGGTAGTTGTGATAAGGGGAGAACAGTATATAGAGAAATAATTATGTGATCACTATGCCTTTAAGAACACTGGGAGAATTTGAAAGTGATCTCTTTCAAAAGAACCAATGAAGGAGCTTCCTTTAGGGAGAGGCGGTCAGCTCTATTTAAAACAAAGCAGAACAATGAAGCATTTTTTAGACTCCTAACACCACTCCTCCTTTTCATAGTTTGGTTTGCCCTCTTACAAAGTAACACCCTGGCATCCACATTAGAATTGAAACTGACAAGGCATCCCTTTTATCCCTGGCTTCCAAAACTCCTTATTAATAATAATTAGCCATTCCTGGCTTCTATTCAAGAGAGTTTAATATATACTAGAATGGCTTCTGGGCCTCAGCTGCATTTCTTACTTTAGCTAAGGAATGATGGTGCTGGGAGAGGGAACACCACTCTATGCTGAAAGAGATTTGCTGAATAGCATCAGTGCAGCAAAATGACTACTCAGTTTTCTGTTAATGAATAACCATTATTTAAATATATATTTTATGTTAGTATATGTGTAGAAATGCTCATACAAATGGGTCATATTTAGCATAATAAATTTATTTCTATATCTACCTTAGAAAATGTGTGGCATATAGCCTGTAGCATTTGATAATCACTTTAAAAGTCATTATTTTTATACATTTCATACGTGTGCTTTCCTAGGAAATGTAACTGCCTTTGATTTCCAGGTAAATGTGATTTATAATATTAAATGTCTATGCAATAAAATAATGTGGGTGATATTTAAGATTAGTTATCATGAATGTATTATTTACTTAATGAATAAATACTTCAGTTTGGTTTGTAATGTTACTTATTTTAATTTTTACAGAGCATATAACTGAATGCCTTGATAAGAGTAGATATTGTCATATTTATTAGAAGAAATATAGTGGGATGGGGAGTTTATTTTCCAAACTTCTGGTTTGGAGGAAGGCATTTCTATTCCACTCTTTCAGGGAAAGAAAAGGTAGGAGCATAATTATTTTATTTTCTCTCATCTTTCACTCTTCAAGGCAGAAAGGAATGACATCTGACTGGTAAAAAATGGAGGGAGGGACTGAGCAGTCATGGACTCTTGTTTTCAAGAGTGGCCTGTTTCCAGGATTCATTCACTCTCTGTGTCCTAGGGCAGGCTCTGCCCCTGAAAGGAGGGTGGCACCACAGACTACTGGATAAATCTGGCTTATTCAGAGGTGAGGGGTTAGGGTCTCACATACAGCCACTGATCCAAGCAAATATCTTTACCTCCATGTCACTATCTCCTGAGTCTTATTTTACAACTCTTCAAAAAGCTGTGGAGAAAGAGTCAGACCTGTTTACTTACCCTAAAACTCTGATCCAGTTGCTCTGTGGTGAATATAAACACATGGCATATGTGTGAGTCTTATTATCCTTTGCAGTTTCTGAGCCTATTTTCCTAACCTGAAATAAATATAGCTGAAGTTTTGGCCCTTGTTTCAAAGCCTCAATCCCTGAATAGTCCTCTTCTGCCAGCAATGAAATGTTTGAGAGTTTGTTTCATGAAATCTTATTAAAGGATACTAAGAGTGAAGAAGATAACCTCACTAAATAACCAGTGTTACCTGCCCAGTTTCTGACTTGGGATTTCACTTTGATGAAACTTGTATGAATCTTGACTAGAAGGTGAACTTTCTCCCTGAATTTCCCAAGAAAATGATTTCATAGATCATTAGCGGAATTTAACCCTAACTTGGAAACTTATTTTCAGAACGTAGGTATTATTAAAACCCCTAACAAATTTTCTTTGATTTCTAATTAAAAGTTAACTTTTATTAACATATACTTATCTAACAATTAGAGTAAAAATCATCACTTTGGATTTTGACCACAAATTAACACACTACAGTCAGGAATTCAGAACATTTATTGCAAGAGCTGAATAATTGTAAATAACTTAGAACTGGCAAAGCAGTAACAAGGATAATTGTTTAGATATTTATTGTGTCAAAGTCATCAAACACCCCTCACAAACTGACAAATATGTACTTCAATAAGCTATGCACTCCTACCCATTATTTTCCATTATACTGTGGAAAAATGTGAATTGCTATTTACAAAGTAATTTTATTTTTGGTAAGAACAAATTATCTATCAGATTAGCAAACCATTTTTTTACTTTTTTTTTTTACTTTTAAACTGATGTTGAACGGTGGCATTAAGATAACTTTCACTTCTTTCAATAAAGACATTTTGTTGCATGCTATTTATTTGTTTAAATCATCTGTCATGCCTTAACAAAAACCTCCTAAGAATGCTCGAATTTGGATTTGTTTGCACGTGCAACTGAGATCTTATTAACATTAGCTGTCACTCTGTTGGTTTGACCTAAGTGACAAGATGCTGGTACCTGCCGGCATTGACCAACTATGATAACAAACAGTTAAACAGCAATAATTAGAGATCTATCCCTTAATTTCCCCCAACTAGCCTACCTGGAGAATGTTCTGTTACATCATGAAGGCACAACACATTAAACAGTTTGTGACTATGGTCTAACACTTGTGTTACAACAACATTATTGGATATGAGGATCAACACAAACTGCCATTTCAACAAAGTTGTAGACACACATTTTCCCAATTGAAACTATTTTTGAATAGTAATTTTTCTTCAATATATGCTAATTTAATACATAAGTTTTGCATGAGTGACAAGCACAGGATATATCACTTTCTGAAGGATAACACTTTCCCATTACTATGCTACTAAATAAGTGATTTCGCTTTTGCCTACTTTGAAAATAAGGATGTCAAGAAAATAGGTTCTGAATTTCCAAGCTTTTGCAGAGGTCCTTTTTTTATATAAAGTTTTCATTTTTTATCTTTATTTCTTATAGAATTCCAGCATCATAAGCTATCATAAAAGAAGCGAGATTCCAGAACCTTTATTTTCACTACAAGTATCTGAGATCTTTTGAACAATGTGTGTCAAGACAGACTCAGAAACACTTCACTAAAAGAAACAACAAAAATAGCAACAAAGAGGCAAACAGAAAAAGAAAAGAAGCAACCATAAAACACAGAATTATGCTACAACGTTTTTTAGGTGAACGGTATAAGTACACAAAAGTTGTTAATAATAGCTTGCTTCTATTTACAAATACTTTAACACTGATTGACTTACAAGTGTCCACTAACGTTGTTAACAGCACAATAGGTTTAATGCTTATCTTTTTAAATTTCGTTTGAAGTATAATGTCAAGTATAGCAGTCCCAGCACAGATCAACAACAAAAAGAGCACAATTTTCTAACTGGATATGTTTGTCAGTCACTCTAATCCATGGAACTTTCTTACTCTCCAAATGCATATTCTATTATTCATAGCAGCAGTCCAGGGTCAAAATAAAATGCAGTTAAAAAAAAAAAGGATATTTGCACAACGGAGAGACCTCTGGAGAGTTTAATCAATCCTAGTAAACAAGATCACATGGCTAGTAGAACTATCTTCTCTCTCTTATGTGGTAAAACACTGTATCCTCCATGGTGCTAACACAAAGTTATGGATATCCCTGCTATAAGGGGCATAGTTGTAGAGATCTATTGAATACATAAAGCTCTGACACACACGGTATTAACATGTCTATTTAGTTTAAAGTTATTAGGTCCCATATAGCCTTTTTCTTTTTAGAGTTGGTGCTCCTTAGGACTCTCAATAGCACCTCCTGCTTGCTTATAAGACTTCAGATTTGCCAGAGGAATGTCTGTCATGTGGCTGCCATTGTTGAAATGGCCTTCGGTGGAACCATACTGCTTACGGTCATTGAACTGGTTCCTGTTGCTATCTTCTTTCCAGGCTCTGGTCAGGGTGTGCCCATTCACAAGCTTGTCCTTCTTGACCCATTCTTTCTGGGGTGCAAAGGTTGAGAGAGGTGATTTAGGGTGTTGATAGGGACCCAAGCCAGGAGGCATCCAGCAGTTATCAGAGTGACCCAAAACCAAGCACTCTTGAGTGCACATCTCTGTAGCTTCAGCTAATCCTCGGGGGCCCAGAGGCCCATCTGCAGAGGACAAGAGACAAAATAAGGAAAGAAAGTGGTTAGAGTTTTCATTTAAAATTATCTCCTTAGAGAAAAAGTGCATTGGTAATCTCATTTGCTCATGAAAATTATATTAAGGTAAACAATTCAAATATATGATTCCTCATTCTTTTAAGAATAACATAGGAGGAATAAAATTCCTTTTACTTGAGGTGAGAATTATCTCTTTTCCTTAAGCCTTCATTTATATCTAGAGATACAGACAGATAGAAAAATAAATAGACAGACATGAGTAAACAGATATACCCATGACATATCATTTCTGATGAACTTTTTCCATGACATATGTATTATTACTAATTTATGTCCTACTTCTCCACAAAAAAACTCATATTCACGAGAAATAGTGAAAAGTACAAAAATTTTATGTGCAATGTTGAAATATATGCTAACATATCAACTCCTTGAATATAAAAAGTATTACTTGAAATATAACATTAAAAATAAATACTGTAGGGCTTCCCTGGTGGCGCAGTGGTTGAGAGTCCGCCTGCCGATGCAGGGGACGCGGGTTTGTGCCCCGGTTCGGGAAGATCCCACATGCC